CATCATGGCGGCATGACACAACAAAAAACACACATCACGTCAGTCTCAGCTGGTCTGGAAAATGACACCCGGCTCACAACACACACACACACACACACACACACACACACACACACACACACACACACACACACACACACACACACACACACATACACACACACACACACAAACACACACGCACACATTTTCCTCTCTGCAGTCTCCCTTCAAGCCTTCAACCACCCACTAACACCAGCACAGCACACTGGAACACCCTCTGCAGCCGGCAGCAACGAATCCGAGGCACTCAGCTCGACACCTCGACACAGCGTACAACTGCCAAGCTGCAGGCCCAAGAATGCATCGCGCAACTCGAGGGGACTGGCGCAGCACGAGTGAAGACGAGGACAGGGACGCTTCAAGCCGCCCTCACGCAGGTCATGTTCAGGCAGACCACCGCTTTGCTCGTGGCCATCACCGCCATGACCAGCGTCACCGCCAGCGCCGCTACAACCCGCGGTGGTACACGCAAAGCAGGCAAAGCGGCGGCAGCAGCAAAAGCGACACCCCAATCCAGGACACGCTGGCGGCCATGAGGCAGGCCGAGGCGGATGCTGATGTGCAGCAGGACGGCTGCAAGAGCCTGGGAAGCATTGCGTATCACTGTAACAACATTCACACGCATACGCTCATTGTGAGAGAGGGCGGCATTGAAGCGGTGGTGCGTGCAATGCGCAGGCACGCCGACAACGCCAGTGTGCAGTACTTTGGGTGCTCCGTGCTGCAGACGCTGGCCATCAACAGCAAAGACGAGCGGATGATGTCGTTTCGTCAGAGGCAGCGCAGCAGCTCGAGCGACAACGCAAACAGGGATGCTGCTGCCACCGCTGGTGCTCGTGATGGCGCGTCTGCCGCTGACCCGCGGCAAGCCATCAGAAACAGGCTGCTGGAACAAGGCGCTGTTGCGCTGGTCGTGACGGCCATGGTCAGGCATCAGCACAACGTGGGCATCCACCGGGCAGCGTGCGCGGTGCTGAAGGGCCTGACAATTGTTCGCAACACCTTCAGGATCATGGTTGACGCGAGCGCCATCGAGGCTGTTGTTGGTGCAATGAGCCGGTTCGTGGGCGACACCGACGTGCAGTGCAGTGGCTGTGCTGTCCTGCGAAACCTGGCTGCGGAAGCGTACAGGCGGCGAGCATCGGATGAACAGCACACGTCGAGCGCACGCGACAAGGGCGACCAGCACGGTGCTGGTGACGACGATGACGACG